TATAAAATAAAAAAATCTATTAAAGTACTCTCAGAGAAAGAAAGGTCATTTAGACAAAATATCTCAAGCTTACACCATCTATTGAAAACTAATGTAAACAACAATCACATTTGATATTAATATATACAAGGTCTATGTATTAGGTGAGTGTTGAAATATTTACTTACTATCGTTGACTTTAGATTTTAAATTATTTCAGCTATCAAAGTTGAATTTTTATTAATAAAAAACAACCGTGTTAAGAATAAATGAGAATATCTATTGAATTCGAATAAAATATTTACTGATAAAGAAAACATAACAGAAACTCTTCTTATAAAAATAACAACAAGTTACTAAGCAACTAAAACATGTTAAGAACTTAGAACTAGGAACAAGTATCTTCATATACTTGTCTTTGGTATGTATATACTTCACATCCTCCGTTTTTTTTTTTAGATGTTAGACATCTAAATTTCTTAGCCCAATCCGTCTGCTTAACTCCTGCAACCTTGGGCCAAATAGAGGCTTCGTGAACATGTCAGCTAGCTGTAGCTCTGAGGTCACTTGTTTGACCATAAACTCTTCATTGCACACACACTCTCGAATAAAGAAGTGTTTCAACTTTATATGTTTCGTACGCTTATGATACTCATGTTGGGGGTTGTGTGCAAGTTTTATAGCTGACTCATTGTCTAAGTTTAGCACAGGTTTGTCCGCTTGAATTAGACCATAAGCGATTAAACCACAATATTTCTTGCGCTGTTTCACTGGCTGCTATTATTTCCGCTTCTGTTGAAGAAATCGATACAGTGGATTGCTTTTGGCTTTTTCAACTAATCGCTGCTCCAGAAAATAAACACAATGAGCCAGACGTTGACCTTCCATCTGTTTGGTCTCCAGCGTAGTTTGCATCACTGTAACAGACTAAGTATGACGGTGATTTGGGTGTATAAATAAGACCATAATTCTGTGTGCCTTTTAAATAGCGAAAGATACGCTTGACGCGCAGTATATCTGATTTTGTAGGTGACTCCAAATTACGAGATACTACACCCACAGCATATGAAATATCGGGTCTTGTACCTACTGCTAAATATGCTAAGGAGCCCACGGCTTGCCTATATGGGAAGTTTGCATTTACGTGCTCTTCTTCTCCCATCTCATTTCCTCTGATAATCGGCGTTGGTACTGATTTACAATTAGACATGCCGTATTTTTGTAAAACTTTCTTTGTGTAAGCCTTTTGACATAAGATAATTCCTTTGTCTTTGCGCACATTTATTTCCATTCCAAAAAAGTAAGAAACAGGTTTAGTTGTTATCTTGAATCTCGTAGTTAATTCTTTAATGAATTCTTCGCCTGCTACTTTTGTGCTGTATGCCACAAGTCCATCATCGACATAAAGGCCAAGAAACACTTTGGATTCTCCTCTAACTCTCGTATAAAGACATGGAGCAGCTTTACTGTGTTGGAACCTAGATTTCTTTAAAAATTCGGTTATACATGTATTCCAACATCGAGGTGCTTGCTTTAGTCCGTAAAGACTGCGTTTCAACTTACAAACTCGTTTTGTACCATCTTGATAACCTTCAGGTTGTTTCATGTAAAGCTCTTCCTGAACTTCACCATAAAGGAACGCAGTCGACACATCAAACTGGTGTAACTTTAAGTTTTCTCGAGCGCTAATTGCTAACAAAGTTCGTACTGTACTCAAACGTACCACTGGGCTAAAAGTTTTATCGTAATCCACTCCAAGTTGTTGTGAATAACCCTTAATAACCATTCTGGCTTTATATCGTTCTACGGAACCGTCAGGATTCATTTTTACTTTAAACACCCACTTGCAAGGCAGGGCTTTTCGTCCCTTAGGTAAATCCATCAGTTCCCAGGTTTGGTTGTCATTTAGTGAATTAATTTCACTGAGCATGGCTTCTTGCCATTTATCTCTATCTGGAGATTCCATGGCTTCTTTAAATGTGGTAGGTTCTTTAGGCTTATGAAGATTTTCTATTTCTTCAGTTGCAGCCATTATAAAATCATCAAAGCGTTTAGGAACATTGATTGCAGATCTGTCTCTCAAGGATCTTGGTTCATCGTTTTGCACAATGTCTACAATGTTATCGATTTGTACTTGTGCATCATCGTTATCATTATTATCGTCATCATTCATATAACCAGAAAGTGATTCATCATTGCTAGACGCGTGATCATAATCATCAAATGATATATCCACTTGTTTGTGCGTATTTTTAATCTCTTTGTTTTTTAAATCATTGAGAAGAATTGACATATAGTTTTTATTATCATGTTCATTGTAGTACAATGTTTTTAGAAGGAATAAAAATTCTTAAAGCTTTTGATGTTTCAGAGTAACCTACAAACATTCCTGGTATCGCTTTAGGTGCAAATTTATTATTGTTAGAACCCTTTCGTAGCACGTAAGTCTTCAAACCAAATGCATACAAATGATTAATGCACGGGTGTCTCCCAACCCACTGTTTAAAAGGCGTTTCATTTCCAATAGCGCTATTAATACTTCTATTTGATAAGTAATTTGCTGTTGTTATTGCTTCGCCCCAAAGTCTAAATGGTGCGTTTGCATCAATCATCATTGCTCTCGCTTTCTCCACGAGTGTACGGTTCTTACGTTCGGCAATTCCGTTCTGATTCGGAGTATAGGGTGCGGTTAACCTACGCTGTATCCCACAATGTTTGAGATAAGAATCAAATTCTTTATTTACATACTCTTTACCGTTATCAGACTGAATGAACTTGATTTTGTTTCCAGTATGCGTTTCAGCCAACTCTTTAAATTCTTTAAAATAATGGAGTACTTCGTTCTTGTTTTTCATTAGATAAACTCTAGAGTATCGAGTATAGTCGTCGATGAAGGTTACAAAGTATTTGTTTCCACGTACCGATGCCGTTCGAAATGGTCCACAGACGTCAGAATGAATTATTTCTAGGCAGACTTTTGTTCGCTGATTTACTGTAACTGGCGCAGGTACCCGATGTAACTTGGCTTGAATACAGGCTTCACATTCATTTAATGATTCAGATTTATCAAAATTTAAGCCAATAGAAGAAGTACTCTTTATTAAGTGCAAGTTTCATATCTTTAACATTCATATGGCCTAATTTTCTGTGCCAATCATTTATGTTCGATGATTTTATTTTGTGTACGTTAGGAATGATTTCAATTTTATCATTTGCCATATTGTTACGTTCAAGTTTATAGGGATTAATATAGTATAGGCCATCTTGTTGTTTAAATGCAGTGAGAGTGATTCTTTTTTTGTGATTATTGACAGTCGCTTTATTTTTAGAAAAATGAACAGTACAGCCAGCGTCTGTCATTTTGCTGACTGACATCAGATTCGTATGCAAACTAGGAACATAAAGAGTGTTTTGAAGATGCGTAATAGCTCTTTTATCACCATTTTTAGTTTGAAAAGTGACTGTACCCTTTCCTTTAATATCTGCAGTAAAATCTTCAGTTGCAAAGTTTAATTTTCTTGATGTACTATCTAAAGCTTTAAATAAATCTCGTTGATAGGTCATATGAGATGTGCAACCACTGTCTAACACCCAATTGTTGTTATCAGACTTCCCGTTACGTATAAGGAGGCATTGAGTGGCGAAGTGGTTCTTCAATGAGTTGTCGTACCTCTTGTTTAGCTTTTCTTTGTTTTAATTTGTTTGGAAACAATTTGTACAAATTTTATGATATTTGCGTTTGAAGATGTTACCTCTTTGTTTGCAAACTCTACAAGATGCATACAGTGCATCCTCTTGTTGTGAGAAATCAGGTTCTTCATTATTAACTAAGTTTCTGTTGTGACGCGCATCAGATTCTTCAATAATTTTTGTCTTAAGCTCCTCTGGCTTAGGAAGAACGTCTCGTGATTCAATAGCCACTCTGAAATTTGTGGTATTCAGCAGAAATACTATAAAGCAACATTATTGTCAGCAAATCTTCATTGATATGTACGTCTATATCCGATAGTTTGTCAACAATATCCATGAAGTTATTCAGATGTGTTCGAACATCTTTTTCTTCGAGTTTTGTTAGGATTAAGTTTTAATTGCTTCAGTAAGGTTGCTTTACGCGCAGGTCCCTTACTTGCATAAATGGACTTCAACTTGTCCCAGACCTGTTTTGCTGTATTGCATTGCTTAATTTGTTTGAGTTCTGACGGAGCGATAATAAGTATCAATTCTGATTTCGCTTGTTTGTCTCCATCTTTCTCAGATTCACTAGCATCAGGACTTAAAGCATTTTCAATATATTTCCACAGTTTGTGGCGTATAAGCACTGCTTCAGCCTGAATGACCCAAGCATCATAGTTGTCTTTTGTTAATAGGTCGATCCTGATATTCGACATTTTTGTAAGATTAGATATTCTAGTTTTCTTATATTTTTAAATATAATTTACTTACTCATTTAAACGCTCTGCTACCATGTTAAGAATAAATGAGAATATCTATTGAATTCGAATAAAATATTTACTGATAAAGAAAACATAACAGAAACTCTTCTTATAAAAATAACAACAAGTTACTAAGCAACTAAAACATGTTAAGAACTTAGAACTAGGAACAAGTATCTTCATATACTTGTCTTTGGTATGTATATACTTCACAAATCGAATACCATTGTATGAAACCGATGATAAAGTTATGCGTTTCAGTTTCATTACATGTTGATAGATAAACACTGGGTTCTTCGTTTAAGTGTCGAATTTTTAACTAGTTAACCAAATAACTGTCAACCGTCGACGCGTTGATTCTACGTTAACAGTTGATTTAACTAGTCCGTTGATTCAACGCCCATCGCTAATATATTTCATCCAAAGAGTAGTATTATCCTGAATTGCGACAAGTGTGATTTATTTACATAAAATTGGTGTTATATTTTATATAAAGCATAAAATCACGAAGTGAGTGACAAAAATGTTTGTTTCATAGTTTTTCTTGGCATATGTACTCTATTGCTCGTTGAAATGCCTATCTGCGGAAGATGTCAACGTAAAATTTGTAACGAGACCTTTACAATGCTTTGAAAATATACTTTTATGACTTTACTTAAGCTATTATGTCATTTAATCTAACTTTCAGATGATCGAAGTAACGAATAGATAGTGCCTATAATTATCCTTAATCTTATTAATATTACAAAATGTTTTCATATTGAAATCTGTCATACATTGTAAAAACTGACATGGGATCTATGAGACCAACTGGACGGTTCCTCTCTTTCACTAATAACATACAAAGAACACAAAAACAGTCTGGTAAGTACAAGATGAATTTGATTGTAATATAAATTACAAATCACATTCCAATTTATTATACAATTTACATTCGAATTCATTATTTCAGATCATAGGTATAATATATTTTTAGTAACACTTTTTTCAGCCCTAAATCCTGGTTATGAATACAATGCTTTGTAAACAACATATTTATTGAACCAGAACCTTTAACCTTAATTTAAAAAGGGAAAATTAATCATTTGCCCAATTTCATAGTTTAATGAACTGGTAACTTTTTGTCAAAAATTATTTATAGTTTAATTGTTTTTGTCTTAATATTAAAAATTACCATCAGTCCAACCACCTGAACTATTATCAGTTTATTTGAAGGAATTGGATTACTTTTTTAAATTTCTTGGCATTTTGATAAAAGATATGGTGGCAGAGTATTAGTCCCAGTATCCAAAACTTATACTATAGGGTTAGATTGGATTTGCAGACAGATTATGTAGAGGTTTTATGGCTTTAGACAATGTTTAATTATAAAACAACTGTGAACATTTGTATAGTATATTTGCCTGATTATTTACCTGGTGATCTTTTACATAGTTTTATTAATAATTGTGAGCATGCATTGACTCAATGTCCGGATCAAATTATCTGCATTCTGGGTGATTTCAACTGAATAGGCCTATTGTTTTTTGATACTACTCCCTTAAATCCATAGTGTTAAAGCCTCATTTTGTTTGTGATTTGTGTCATTCTTCATCATTGAATCAGTTGAGTTTTATTGCTAATCATAATGATTGTATGCTTGATCTGGTTTTGACTAACACAGCAGGTTGGTTTTCCTTATCGAATGCAATCCCTATAAGCTGTCTGGATATGCATTATCCCCTACTTCAGCTGGTTATTAAAGGCCTGTTATCATATCCTTTATAAAAATAAAAACGTGATTGAAAGGTTTATCTTTTATGAATCTGACTATCAAAGATATTAGAACTAAAACAAGTTGATTGGGACTATCAAGCAACTCTTCCAAGAGTGTGATGATTTGACACAGTTTTTCTAAAATAAGTTGTACAGTGTTTACGCCCAAAATGAAAAAAACATAGTGCTGGTTATCTTATGTGGTTCTCTAGAAGTCTAATTAAAGTTCTAAAAGAAAAATCAAAATATCATAGATTTTATATATAAAAATCCCAGAGATTACTATACTTTTTTTTACTTAGGTTATGAGCGGAAAAATTGGTGGATTAATGTTTCAAGAGATATATAAATAAATAGGGAATATGCAATATTTTATCACAATCATTATTGCTTTAGAATATAAATAAATAAAAATAAAAATAGCCTTTATTCTCTGACTTTGTATATCAATTATTGTTACAATTTAGTTTTTTCCACCAACATTGGTATCTATACTGCCAGGTTGTCCTTTGACAAAGGCCTCCTCCAGCTTAGCCCATTCCCCTCTATCTCTGGCTGCTCTTCTCTATCCCTTCGGTAGGTCATCTTTCCATCTCTTTATCTGCCTACCTCTTTTCCGTTGTCCGTCACGAGGGTACTATTCTGTGATATCTTTTGCCCATTTTGGTTTCGTTGAACTCATCATATGTCCTGTCCACTTCCATTGTAAGGATTACATCTACCACACCTGTCCTCCTCCTTATATCCTGAAGACGTAGCCTATCTCTAAGTTTAACACCCAGGATACTCCTTTCAATTCCCTGCTGACATACTTTTAGTTTTGACACTGTGTGATTTGAATATGACCATGTTTGGCATCCATAGCTTAGCACTGGAAGTATACAGGTATCAAAAACTTTTCTTTTTAGGGATACAGAAATTGAATTACATTTCATAACTCTTTTTAGGGACCAGTATCGTGACCATGTATTGCAAACTCTTCTCTGTATTTCCTTCTGCATTTGCAAGTTTGGTGTTATTACCTGTCCCAGGTAAATGTATTCCTAAACGCGTTCTCATATATGGACGTTTCGGTCGCTCGGCTGTGACGCGCGTGCTTGTCTCTCATAGTGCTGCTGTGGCTCGCCTGGAGCGCCTATGTGTGGGAGAAGTGTGTAATGATCTAACAATGCAAGCGGTGCCCTCCTATAAGTAATGGGACACTTAGTATATAACCTTGTCATTATGTAATTTTTGTTGTAGTTTTAGTGTACTCATTGTTGTGAGAGCCTGATAAATAAATAAATAAATTCCTCTACATATTCAACTTCTTGCATTCCCACCATCAGCTTTATTTTTGATAGATAGATAAATGCTTTATTGAACCACTACTATCACTACATTATAAGTTGTTATAAAATACTTAGTTGGTGTATAGAAACATTAAAATTACAAAAGACAACGATTTATATCATCGAACTAGAGTGTGAAGCAGCTCAAGAGGTATACAGCTCAGTGTTGGATGTTCCATATATGAAACAGACACTGATTAGTCATTGCCTTAGTCTTGTTCAGGTTCATGGTCAATCCAGCTTTTGCACTTTCTATTTTCAGTTGTATCAACATACATTGAAGGGCAGTTGGGTCTTCAGCAAAAAGGACATGGTCGTCAATAAAACCGCAGATGGTGCAGTTTGCTACTGTTTATGTTTACTCCCATCTCATTCCAGTCTAGGTATCTAAATATTTCGTCTAGAACGGCTGAGAAGAGTTTCGGGGACAGAGGATCACCTTGTTTTACACCTTTTTGAACATTGAACTCCGGGCCAACCCTTTTAAGTTGCACTTTGGTTGTGCTTTGGTGGTATATCTGGTATATGATTCTTATGTATTTATTATTAATACTCTGTTTATATAGTGTTTTATAGATAAAGTCATGTAGCAGGGAATCAAAGGCTTTGTTGTAGTCAACAAAAGCAATATAGTATGATTTTCCGTATTCGTTATATTTCTCCATAAATTGTTTCACTACATGTATATGGTCGATGGTGGAGTAATCGCTACGAAAACCAGCTTGTTCTCTGGGTTGTTGTTTGTCTAGAACCTTTGATAATCTTCCAAGTAGTATCTTCGAAAAAAACTTTATAAATGTTGGATATTAAACTAATAGGTCTATAATTGTCTATGTTATCTTTATCCCCCTTTTTATGATTGAGAACGATTGTTGATTCGGTCCATTGTTTAGGTATTTCTTCATTGTGTAAAATTTCATTAAAAATCTCTGTTAATGTTTGCCCTATAATATCGAAAGTCTCCTTTAGAAGCTCATTTGTTATTTTATCGTCTCCTGGTGCTTTATTGTTTATTTGTGACATGACAGCTTTTTTGACTTCACTTAGGAGTATGTCTGGAATGTCTTCATCGTCTTGTTGGTAGGCTTCTATTTCTTTATAATCTCCCAAGGTGGTGTCGTGATACAAATTCCTATAAAACTGTGTCGCCGTTGTGTTTATTTGTTGTCTCTCGCATGTGTTGTTGTATTTCCTTGGAGATTTTTAGTCTTTATATTTGGTATCCAGTTTTTATGGTCCTTCAATTGTTTCCAAGCCTTTTTCATACCTCCTGTTTGCTCTATCTCATCTGTGATGTTATTTATTATTCTTTCTTTGTTGTATTTCCTGATTTGTACTGTAATTTTTTTGCTGATAGATTCTATACTTTTGATGTTGTTTCTCCTATCCTGCAATAGCTTCCCCCTTTCTTCTATAAGTTTTCTTGCTTCCTCTCCTATTCTGTCTTTCTTTGTGCTGTTGGTTACTTTTTTATATATGTTTAGTAAGTACTGTTCCATTTTGTCGTACATTTGCTGAGTTGTGCTTTTTAATTTCATATCTGGGAGTGTCTTTTTTAATTCCAATTTAACTTCCTTTGGCATACATGGTATCACATGGGGTGTTTTAATATTAAAGTTTCTTCTTGATTTTTTTGTGTTGCATGTTTTTATGGTTCCTCTTATCATTCTGTGGTTAGTACTGAAGTTTAACTCGTTGATTACTTCAATGTTCAGGATCTGATAGGGTATATTTGTGATTATAAAGTCTATGACATTTCTATGTTTACCATCGGGTGATATCCATGTCCATTGTCTTAATGTCTTTTTCTTAAATATACTATTCATAAACTTTAGGTTATACTCCATTGCGAAGTTAACTAGTCTGTTACCGTTTTTGTTTCTTTTTCCTTTACAAAATTTTCCAATGATATTTTTTTCGCCTATCTGTGCCTCGCCAATTTGACTGTTGAAGTCGCCTATTAGTATTTTTTGTTTATAAGTTTCCTCCATTGTGTTGTGTAATGTAACATAGAATTTATCTTTTTCTTCTTCCGAATTTTGCTCTGTGGGTGCATATATTTGGATTATTGAGATAGCGTGTTTGATTTCAGGAAGTTTAATATTTAATATAGCGATTCTGTCAGATTTGCTTTGAAATTGTTCAACATAATTTTTATAATACTTCTTGACTAGAAATCCGACTCCGTACATTCCTTGTTTTTCGCCATTATAGTAAAATATATAGTCGTCATATTCTCTTATCTCCTTTCCCATTCGTCTTATCTCACTGAGTCCTATTATATCCCATTTTATCTCTTCTAAAGCTTTCGATAGTTCTACTAGTCGTTCATCAGTCCTGAGTGTTCTTGTATTCAGGGAACATATGTACAATTCATTTTCATTCTGTATGTTTCCTTGTTTTTTGTTTTGCCGAGTGAATATTGTGGTATTTGGGGTGTTGTTTTTATGGGTTTTTGGTTTTGTTTTTATTTCTGCTTTTGCTGATTTTGCTTTTGATTTTCTGGAGGGTTATGGTCTATTGTCCCACGGTGACCAGCCGGGTTGGGACATATATTGCCTGTTGTGTATATTTTGCTGTTCTTTTCGTTTTTCCAGTTTCTAGTTTTTGGTATTGTTCCCAGGATTTAAGTTTGCTGAGCTCCTCATATATTGAAATGCTTTGAATTTATTGATTTTGTTTGGTGCTTTCTGTAAATTACTGGTCATAGTGGCAGGTGATCCAGGTGATGTATTGAACCCTTTTTTTATTAATTATCAGTTTATCATACTTGATATATGCTATCTTTCCCTTGTTTATTTCTTCTTTACGCTGAGTTTTCAGCATGCTCCTTTTTACCAAGACTTCTTTAGGGAAATCATCTGTAGCATATATATCTTTAGGAAAGTGTTTGTTATTTCTCAATACTTCCATTTTTCTCCAAGCAAGAGTTAAGTGTACTAGGATTGGTCTCGTTTTGTTTCCTTTCTTCTCTATGCGTCTCACATTGCTTACTTCCCATTCATCTCAAGTCTTCATGCGGTTCTCATTGTTGCTCAACTTGTTGAGGATATTTATAGTTATTCCCATTACGTTTTCGTTGTTTGTTTCATCTTCTGGTATGCCATGAAGAAGTATGTTATTTTTCCTTGCTCCTTGCCTTGCTTTAGAATAAAGTCTATCTAAATATTTTTCAAAATTAGTTTGTTTTCGTCTTCAAAATAATTATTAAAAAGTGCAAAATAAATGCGGTAACTTCAAAATATTTAAACGCCATGCTACTTGTCAGAGCGGATGTGACGAAAATGTACACGTATAGGGATGTCGTTGTTACAAAAAGTTAACATCAATGTATTATGTCGCAAAATAAACAACTGATTACAATTTAAATGATGTTTTAGGCTTTTATTTTTATTTCACCAATTTGGTAAATTATATGATTTATTAAAAAAGTCTATTATACTTTAAAAAATTGATTAGTTATTAATCGATTTGGGTAATTGAATAATAATCAATCACTCAAAATCCATATTGATTTAAAGTGTCATATCTCTAGTCGTGTACTTTGACGTCACGACAAGCGCGCCAAAAATTCTCGTAATGTTTAAACTGCTCGTAGCTATTACTTATATTCATCAATTATTAATGTTACAAAATTTAGTTTTTCGGTGCCGGAATTTTAAAGTAGAAGTAAATTATCATATAAAAACATTTTCCGAAAATGTGCATATTCCCTATTGAAAAAGATTTGGTATTAGGCTTAAAAATCTTTTTGTAGATATACGAGTACAAAAACAAAAGAGTCACTAACGATACCCGTATACATACGTATTTAGATCAGCCTTTCCCAAAGTGTGCAACAACGCCCCCGTGTGGCCGCTGCTGGCCTAAAAGGAGGCTAAATGGTTATAATTATGATTCGGTACCATGCATGCCTTCATCTGGTATTCCTCAGGGATCTAATGTGGGTATCCTATTAGTTCTGATATTTATCAATGACCTTTTAAATGAATTTCATAGTAATTGTTTGGCTAATCCAGATAAAACATTAATGATTGTAAATTTCTGCAAAATTGTATATATCAATAATTTTCCAATAATCAGTTTCACAAAAAATAAGAAGAGTATTATGAGATAAATACTCTTCTTATTTTTTCGATTTTATTGGATCGAGTAAATCTTGTTCGTGATTTAGCTATGTGGTTTGATTCAGATTTATCTTTTACACAACACTATAATATAATTTGTAACAAAGCCAGCAGAATGGTTGCTTTTGTAATGAGACAATCCAAGCAATTCAAAAATCCAAACTCCTTAATGTTGCTATACACGTCTTTAACGAATTATGATGATCGGCTTACAAATTTTTCGTATATCTTACATAACATCGTATATGGCAGGGGTGGCCAACTTGTTTAGACCCAAGAACGACTTTTCACTGATGACACTCAGTACGATCTTCCAATTACTTTACTTCTTAAAATCTTAAATGAAACAGCATAGTTCGTACACAATTATGTAGTATTTTGATTTTATTTAGTATTGTGGATGGCCACCCATGGTATATGGTGAATATTGCGACCAACTCCTAAACCAGATTAATTTTAAAGTACCTAATTGATCAGTAAGAGTTCCTAAATTGTTTACTGTATCGGGTACCGATAATATATCACAAAAAAAAATACCGCTATCACGGACAATAATAATTTATGTTTTTTCGAAGATGTATTTAATTGTAGTTTACGTACTTTCAAAGTTTCACTATTGTTAATATATTATTAATTATTATTATATATATTGTTAATTATTTAATATATTAGTTTAATGTTTTGAAAATATAAATCTTGAGCTTAGTGCTGAAATTAGTATTTTTTTTTTGATGTGGTGTCAGTTCTGCTGTGTCATTCAATGGAGTAGACTAAGCAATAACTATCATTTGGGTTTACTACTTTGATGTTCACATGTAGTATTGAAAATTTAGTTATGCCTCTGTGTAATATGATGCGGTAGATTTACTTCTGTCTGAAAACTATTCTGAAAACTAATAGTTTTCAGAATTGGAACTAAGTTTATTCTGATTTGTGCCGACGGAATTAACACCGGTTTCTTTGCTTTTTTTTTTAAAGCTGTGTACAATAATTACTGGAATATAGCTTTATAAAGCAACCTGATAGATGTTAAGTATAATATATAATTTATATTCTGTTTTTGTACCTCGAACAATAAAATAATATAAAATTACATATCCCTTTCGCACAAATATATTGCGCTTGCACAGCAAATTTGTCAGTCAAGTAAACCTAAAATGTTAACATACAAAAGTATCTTTGTTTGGCACCTGTGCTATATAAACAAACAAGTATAGGTTTGAGGAAAAAGCTTAATTATCAGTTCTAATTTATTAATACCTGTTTTTTACAATTTATTAACACATTCATTTAATAGGTTCAATAAACAAAATATGTAAAGCATTATAAAATCTAGTTTTAATTAGAATTGTTAATATTTGTGCAAAATGATATAAAAAATGACCATTTTGAGATTATTATTTTTTTACTATTAATAATAATGTCAAAATCCATAAAAATATCTGCACTACATCTCATTATTATTTTACAGTACCCAGTGGATTTCCACAAAGCTTGTCCGGTAGTGAAACAGATGTATCTACATCAAATGAAAATTTGTCTAGAGAGGAGCGGTATGTTGTCAGGCACACCGCCCGAGTAGAGCCTCAGGGTCAGGAAAATCAAACAGAACCAAATCATAACAGAAATTCACTGAAGGTAAGTTGTTTATGACATCAATGCTGGAAAGTAAACACGTAGTAACCCACAAGAATAAATTGTTCTCAAGAGCTATTATATTTAAAAAAAAGAATCCTACTTCCACATTAATCAACTTATGATTACCATATTTGTTACTAGAGACGTGCTGAATAGTGATTCCGATAATTTTATTTATTGAACATTTACATGAAAATGAGCTTCATCCGAGAAGAGAATATTGTTCAAACTTTGAAAACGCTCTAACATCGTTTCGGCAAAAAAAGGACGTAAATGATGATCATATGGTTTCAATTCAATTCCTAGACTATTTGAAGTTTATAGGAGTGGAATTGAAGCTCTTTTACCAAATACGCCTTAACGATGTACTTGATATGGCGAGCTCAGCTGATCTCTTTCGGGATGATAACTGGGGATCCCGCCGTACGGACGTCGTAACTTCTCTTACAGTTTTCTCTGTTCTTATAACTCAGAGCGGAAAAGACGCCGCGCATTATTAGCACGAATTTTTGTAATAAGCCGACTAAATATTCGAGAACTAAGCTACCTACCACTACCCGCGCTCCCCTCCTGTGTACCTGTCACGAGGAATGTGATTTTGAAATTCGCATGCCTTTCTGGCCTGTACAAATCAGTAGTTTATTAGAAGTGCCCACTGACTATCTTTGGTTTAATTGTGCATATATGCATAGAGAATAGAAGAGTGAAAATGTAGACCTGTAGCAAATTTCGGGTTATACAAATATCATGCGATTGGAAATTAACATCTAAAGCAATATTGTCTCTTTTCAACTACTGAGATTTTTCTTTAATAAGCAAAGTTGGCACTAGTTTGACAGTACCAATATTTTTACATGACATATTAATAATAAGTATAGAAATAAATTAACAGGGCATTATTTATAATGCTTGTCACCTGTGGAGCAGAAGAATTGCAAGCAGGCTTTAATATAGTACCTTCTATTTTTATTTGGTTATTATACCTTCATGGCCAGTTTCAAGGTTCGCTACTCTAAGTACCCAGGTTCGATTGTTTGGGTCAATTTAGAAAATGAACTTTGACCAGGTCTCGGTGTTGTGGTACCTTCATTGTTACAGATTTCTATAGGTAATACAACTGCTTTAGCAATTTCATTTGTGATCTAAACAATGTATGTAATGTCTTATATTTTTTATTATGTCACCTATGTTACTTATCACAATAGAATGATTGGAACTTTTTTTATTTAAAGGAAAGTGTGCCAGGCAGCAATAGAAATTCCTTAAAAGACTCAGTCGGTGGAGGAAATAGTAATAGAAGTTCTTTGGATGTATCTTCATCTTCTTACAACACCCTCATCATACACAATCAGGATGATTCTTGGCCCTCTCGACCTACACCTATTCGGTAAGACTTAGTTTGCTGTTAATTCTATTGATTTATGTACAGCAGAGCCGATTCCGTAAAAATCCGAATCCGGATTCGAATTCACTTCGAAAGCAAATCCGCTTTACTTATTAGTGTAGAAATTCTATTGATACATACGTGTTTCAGATATTCTATTTCTATGTAATGAGGAAGTATTTAAAAAAACATTAGTTCCCGAAATCAAACTAGATGTCGCTACGGTACTTTCTTGATTTCTTCATGACAACCCTTCCGTTTTCTTTCATGTATAAAAGTTAATTAATTTTCAAAACTCAATAAACAAATCATATTCTATTTGTACTTTTTCGTATTTGTATTGATATCTAAGCTTCGAACTTTGCAAATTTCTGTTTTTTAATATCTTAGTTAAAAGGAACGAATATGACTATGTTTGGTCCATTCGTTTCCTGCAAAAATTAAGTTTTGCTAGAGGCGCCATCTATTGAGGTGCTTTTTAGTGCTTTCCCTTTTTTTTAATACTTCCTTATTTCGAAACTCACTACGCTTATGCCCTAAAATGTTAATACCAATTCAAGTTTAAGCGGTTTCGCTTTCGGAGTGAATTCGAATTTGGGTTTGGATTTTACGGTCTCCCTCTACTAGATCCGTTAATAATATTAAACATTTCTAGTGAACACGAACGAACTAGCAGTGAAGTAAAGCATCCCACCACTCAGTCTTCCCCATATCACACTCTGAAGAAGAGTGAAGTAGGCAAGAAACCGAGTGGTATACCACTGCCCAAAACGCATAAGGAACAAGCTGTGACAACCACTGCTAATTATATCGACATTGGAGGACAGCGAATATACACCAGTCCTCCCGATCACGGTGTTCAGGTATAGTTGAAGGTTTCCTGCGATTTTGTGGCTTTAGAGTTTTTTATCTATATAAAAAAAATAAAAAATAAATAAATAAAATAAAAAAATAAAGTATTTGCTTTTAGCGCTTCGACTTATGCTACTATTTTTCTTCATCAATCATTGTATATAGTAATACAAATAGATAATATCATTTCTTTATTTATTTATCTAGGAAATAAACGAAATACCGGACGACTTTCTGAACCAGTCATCAGTATTAAAGCACCTAGCTAAAGAGGTCGCACAGTCACCGAGTCCACGTGGCCCCACGCCGCCGGCGTCACCACGTGCCCCCTCCGTCCCCCGAGATGAAGCTCACAAGCCCAAAAGCAAGGGCTCCAAGTCTAAACTCAGCAAGGAGAAACTGAACTTGTCAAGATCTCAGCCTGATCTCACTAGGTAACAAAATCTTTTAAAAACGTTATTTATAAGCCACCAGAACAAACACTCATGTCAATGACGAAGTATTTAAAAAAGGGTAAGCACTAAAAAGCACTTCACTAGATGGTGACTCTAGTAAAAGTTGATTTTTGCAAGAAACAAATGGACTAAAGATCATTTCCAGTCATTTCCGTTAACTAAAAAATTAAAAAACTGAAATTTTCAAAGTTCCATAATTATATATCAATACAAATACGAAAAAGTACAAATAGGATATGATTTGTTTATTGAGTTTTGAAAATTGATTTACTTTTATACATGAAAAAGAAACCGGAATGGTTGTCATGGAGAAATCAACAAAGTGTCGTAGCGACATCTAGTTTGATTTCGGGAACTAATGTTTTTTTTTAATACTTCCTCATTAAATTGTTTTTCGTTATTATATATTTTTCTTAATTTAGATAGTTTGAGCGGTGTAAGTGTGATATAACGTGTGATTTGGACAGCGTGGTAGGGTTACATAGCATGTACGACTGTCTGTTTTTTTGAACGGCTCTCTCCATCAGTAATGTTTTTCTTTCATTCTGCTATGTTATTCTGTTCAGAAACAGCCTCTCACTTGACCTCAAGTGCAACGCTGTCACGGCATGTCACGGCATGTCACGGCTCGAGTTATTTTGGGTATATCATTATGTGCAGTGAGAGCATAATAAAAGGTATGCGCATATCGAGGAACTGCTAATTGGGTTTCTCTAAATTCCTTCTGTTTCTTATACCAATTTCTAATAAATGCTAACATACAAACACACACACAGTTGATTAATTTGTAATTAAGATACAATTTAAAATGAAATATTAATGTTAGGTCAAAAATTAAATATGATAAATTATAACTTTGATCTGTTAACTCTAATAATTATTACAAATGATAATAATGTAGTAGAATAAGGAACATAATATTATTTGCTACCTGGAGGTGGGCGCTAATAGTTGCACTTCGTTTGTTTTTAACTACCGCGACTAATATAAACTATTTGTTCCAATAAATACATTTTTATTTATTTATATGTATCTGTCAGCGTGGGTGTGGGCGTGCGCGCAGTACCTGGTGGGTCGGAGTCGAGCGGGTGGTGCAGCGGCGGGGAGGGGTCGCTGGAGGAGCAGGATGACGCGTTCGCCGCCGTACTCGACGCACTCGCCGCGGAGAACCATCAGCTCAAGCGGCAACTGGCGGACGCATGCGAGCGAGTTGCTAAAACTACTAAGGTCAGAAATTGCACAATTTGATATTGCCCCCTGCACATATTTTTCTTTATATTATCATATTTTTGCAGTGTTTGATTTTATTACTTTAATTTAATTTAGGCAGTTTGAAAAGAATTTTGTGAAGTTAGTCTTTTTTACTATCAGACTGGTATAGTCGGACTAGTGTCTGACAATACAACACCTAGATGGAGCTGTTTTAAAATAACTGGTTACAAACTCAAATTACGAAGCAGTCACTTCGGCGTCTCTGCCAATCTGATGCATACATCATAGACACTTCTTCTTTTGGAAAGAATTACATTTTTTATTATAACAACGCATCACGTGAGACGTCGTACTGATCTTCGCATTACTGGTAACTAATTACCCCTTGCGTGTTGTGGTTTTACAAAACATTGTAAGTAAACAAAGAAATGTATACTGCGACGTGTTAAGTTGTAGATATTTACTAAAGAATAAGGATTTAAATATAGACTAAAGTATATTAAGAATTGTTTTTCGTATAGCTTGAAGAAGAAGTGGAGAAAGTTCGCACTGCGCACGAGGAGTTAGTTCGTTCGTGCGAGCGACGCGAGGGGTTGGAGCGTGCGGCGCGCGTGCGTCTGCAGGCCGACTGTAGACGAATGCAGGACCTCAACCGGGCCCTCAAACAACAGGTCGGTACAACACTAGTATGTTTCGTTCATTGGGACAGGCGAAGGAACTAAAATATACTGCCATATCTTAAGTATGGTTTTGTATATGTATTTTATGAGGCAAAGCCCAATCATATCTTAATTCTTGACTTGATGTTGTTATTGGCAGTGAAATCTTTATTATAATTTTCAAGGCAAGTAGCCAAAACTTGTTTTAAATTACAGGCTGGACTATTGGCTCTGGCCTATAAGTTTGTAGTATTATACATCTTAATGTGACATTCTCAGTAGTGGTAGTTCATTTTCATTCTATCTATGGCAGGGGTTCCCAACCTTTCCTTGATGGGGGACCACTTGTTTATTTTAGTTGTACTATTTACTACTTTAATTGTACTATGATGTAGGTATAAAAAACAAATTAAAAATATAATCTAAACTAATAAAAATATAGGCATTACATTATCTCAATTGTTTTAGGTGGATTTGCTATCACAAGGTGTACGAACCGAGAATGACAACAGTGCAGAAGCGTTGCGCAAAGAGCTACAAAACAGGGAGATGCTCATTGCGCAGCTTATAACACAAAGTAAGATTTAATCAACTGTAAATTTTTTAATTTGCTTATTTTTGACGTTGGTCCTTCGAGCCGGGTTATTGAGAACTTTAAAAAACTTTTCAAAATGTATTCTTGTGATATGTCTAGAATGGCAAATAGATTCAAATCTGCCAATTATTCTTCAACTTCTTCAAGCTAGCAAAATTGATCGTCGTGTGCATTTAAAGTATTTTGTGTGTTAATGGAATGCCGTCAACTACTTTGGCGGTACGTGGACTGTATTGTTGTACATTTTCTATGTGATCTAGATAAAGAGCTGGCTTGCGCAAAAGAACGTCAGGAAATAGAGATGGCGGCACAGCGCGCCACGCTGCAAGAACAGCGCACCCACATCGATATACTAGATACAGCGCTCACCAACGCGCAAGCTAACGTTGTGCGGTTAGAGGACGAGGTATATTCTTTTTTAAATTAAAACAAATTACACATTTATTTGTCTAGTACAACAATAACTATACTCCATTCATTATAGCATTAGACAGAAGTGAAATAAGGTTCTTTTTATGGTATACTTTGTGACAAAATATCAATAATCATGTTACTTTTAAGACTGACGGCTAATTTGGTACATATTCACTTAAATATCAGCTGATATACTTAATTGTTGTCATTTAAGCTAACTATTAAACAAATTTATGAGTATATGACTAACTTAAATGATTTAATAAGTATTACAATAAAAAGTGTCCATCGTAAAGAACCTAAAGAAGCAGGGTTGGATAGTTTCGGCACGATTCTCATGTCACTATAACTCTACCAAATTTAAAACGTTGCCTAACCCCTTCAAGCGTTTCGGTAGTACAGCTTTTTAATTTTGTCAGACTATTATTTATTCATAATTGTTAAAATCGTAATCTGGGATTGTCATCCATTGTGAATGCTACTGCCTTTCTTGTTGTTTAGCCGTTTGCCGTGATGTTATTGTTTTATTTTTGTTGTTAAGTTTTGGTAAATATGGACGATGCTGGTACAGGCCCGAGTGGCCTACAAAAATTACCCTCTAAGCCCCCATACCTACCCTCAAACTTTGACATTTCAGGGAGTTTTTCCAATGTCTTCATCAATAGTCTTACTTATTACACTTACAATTAGAATTTATCAAAACACACAGATAGTTTCAGTTTTAGTTCCATGTTGGCTTGGGACTAAAAGATGAATTTATAAAATGCTGGCCTAATCTCAACCCCGAGGTGTCATAAGAAATGGAAAATTGCCCAGCTCTTTCAGACTACCTAACGTTCAAAGTTTCAACAAAACTAATATAGATTTTTTTAAATTTATCTTGAAAATAAAATGATCTGCACTGCTGCTTCTATGACCCTCTTTTTTCTAATATTATAGTGAATGGAGTATAGAAAGGTTAATCCGTGCGCTGTTTCAATTGTTTTTAGATCAATTTTAGAGCAATTATTTTACTTAAAGTAAAATAATTGCTAATTATATTAATATAAAATCGTTAACTCAGTTAGAAAGTGAAATGAAAACAGATAGTTTCAGTTTTAGTTCCATGTTGGCTTGGGACTAAAAGATGAATTTATAAAATGCTGGCCTAATCTCAACCCCGAGGTGTCATAAAAAATGGAAAATTGCCCAGCTCTTTCAGACTACCTAACGTTCAAAGTTTGTACGTTAAGTAAAATAATTGCTAATTATATTAATATAAAATCGTTAACTCAGTTAGAAAGTGAAATGAAAACATTAATATCTACAAATGAGTAAAAAAAAAACAATAACAAGCCTCTTAACCACAAACGGTGGTTCGTACGCTCGACTGACGCTCGTCGATGATAATGTAATCCTGTAAATTTAAAATTGCTAATGCTAATGTGCTGGAACCTCATCTAAATAACACCCGCGTGACGTCATATGAAAATAGAAAGTATAGATAGCACAAAAGGCAAGAAAAAAATTATTAATTAATTATTGAAATATTTATGAATAAGCTCCAAAGTATTGTTTTAATAATTTCATAAATTTTTGTTTGTTAATTTATTGGATGATTTTTTGGAAATTAATCAATTTATATGTAAATATCGAGATATATGGAAAAAAAATACTAAAAAAAAAACATTTAATACGGAATGGACAATTTTTTATATATAACCAAAAGTAATAATGAAATGAGAGATAGTTATTTTTATTTTTAATTAAAATATTTTTACTTTTTGCGAAACTCGTAATAGCAGTTGCTGTTTTAGTCAACTGCAACAAGTAACAACAAAAACAATGTGTAATCTCAACACAACTGAACACATTAATTTTACTCGTCAGACAGGGTTTTTTGTTAACGGTACTAATTCTTGAACACAATAGGGTATTTAACACCATTAAAAATAAGTCGCGTTTTGTAGTCATCCTGTTAGGTTATTATCTAATTATCTATTAATCTGCAGACAAAATATGTTTAACGTTAGTAAAAGAATGTGAAGTAAGAAAAATGCAACATTTTTAGGAATTTAACGAACGAAGAAAACGCCCTGTAATTGGTTGTCGTCACACAAACAAAAAGCATACAGTACAATTATTAACATACAATTTATTGCTCATTTTAAATACGAGTAACAAACAAAGCTTAACGAACATAAAACTCAAATTTTTATATGCAATAAATACTATATATTTACTTCGTAAATAAATATTTGTTGAATATGTTATGTCGTCGTATATTTACCGGCGTGTGACGTCACAAATACCACGTGATCAGCGCCATTACATAGATCAGCGTTTTATCGCGATTTTAACTATTTAAACTTAAACATTTATTTTTATTGAAAATAGAACAGATTCCCACGTAATATATTATATACAGTGTGTTTATAATGTATCAAACAACCATTTAAAATAGTTTTTAGAAATTTATTTACTAACAACAACATTTACATCGATCATTACAATTTATAGCCAATGCGATCTAGTAAACCTTAACAATTTTTCTTATTTTAACTGAAGACTTAACTCTTTTTATAAAATAACCTTTTTATAATTTATATATTGTTCTTAATTAATTTTATATGTACAAAAAATATTACAGTTTTTGTAAACTCACTCAGAGCACAATCAAATGTGTAAATTTCATTATCTATCATATTCATGACAGATATAGAGCGCGTGAACGGTGTCTCCGCGGCGCGTGGAGCCATCAAAATGTATCAAATATCCTATTACGCAATCAAAGTTGACCGGGCGCATTAGCAATTTGTGTGATCATACGTACGATGAACGTGTTAATGTTCAGTGTCGCCACGCGAGCGGATACGTGGAGCGAGTGCTCGGCCTGCAGAGGGCGCTCGCGTCGTTGCAGCAGGCCTCCGACCGCCGCGAGCACACCGAGCGAAAGTTGCGCGCGCAACTGGAGAAGGAGCTGCAGACGCTCAGGTATATACTATCTATACTAACATTATAAAGCTGAAGAGTTTGTTTGTTTGAACGCGCTAATCTCAGGAACTACTGGTTCGAATTGAAAAATTATTTTAGTGTTGAATAGAGCATTTATCGAGGAAGGCTTTAGGCTATATAACATCATGCTGCAACTATAAGGAGCGAAGAAATAATGGAAAATGTGGAAAGAACGGGACAAATTATTCATTTTTGAGGGCTTCCGTTGCGTGCGCTGCGAAAACGGTTCAAGATATCAAACATATATGTATGAAAGAATTATTCCTATTGAAATGATCTAAAAAATGTCGTCGACAAAATATGTCTATCTTTTAAGATTAACTCACTAGAACCGTTTTTATGGTAATCAAATTTGGTCGAAATTAATGTATTATTTGTTAAGATTTGTATCAACGTAATAATATTAACGTATAATACAAACCACGCGGGCGAAGCAGCTGGCGAAAAGCTAGTATACTAATACCTCCTATCTATACAAATTTTGACATCTAAGATTCATATACGGCCAGTTGCACTGTAACGGTGTGCTGTACCACCGTTTATTTCATCCTAGGTTTCAGCATGCAAACGTTTTGTCTTTGATATTCAACATCATTTACTTTTATTATTCATCTATTGTAATTTGAAAATTTTGAGCAATCAAAATATACTCTTTATGAATGTTAATTCGTAAAAAATTCGTCTGTTGTAAACATGCAAATCACACATATTGTAAATCGAATAAATTGAAACATAAAATTTTATTAATAAAGTGTTGTGATTAAAATAAAAATTATATAATATAATAAAAGTATATCCTGAAACTCGGACGATTCAAGTTTTTATTAAGAAACCTTTTAGATTTAGATTTATTTGAATAAAATAAATCCGTTCTCAAGCTAGTCAGCCTTTTATTATTTGCCCAAGCATCGAATCCGTCACTGCACAAATGTCCATTAAGGTTTAATGGCTCCTTTAAGCTATAATGTTGAATTTGTTTGGGTAATGCCACTGTAAACTAATGATAATTTTAATGGCTGATAATGTATTAGGAAATTAAGCGTTTCAAAACTTTTTTATTAGTTTTCACTGTGCCTTTTATACTTCTTCGTCCGCGTGGAAATACGTAAAAAGTGATCCATAGATATAGATACGTGAATGAATCTATCGACTTTACGAGCAGGAAACGAGAGTGTAACTGCGGCGGCGGCGGCGTCGGGCAGGCGGGAGGGGGCGGGGGCGCGGGCGGCGGAGAGGCGGAGCTGAGGCGACAGCTGCGGGAGCGAGACGAACGACTGCTCGCGCTCGAGGGGGAGTGCGCCAAGTGGGAACAACGCTATCTGGAGGAGGCCGCGCTCAGGCAGGCCGCCGTCTCGGCGGCGTCTATACCCAAGTACGTACTACTGGCAGTACTGGCGGGAGGTGACAGCTACGGGAGACAAAACAGTTGTATACACGCTACACACAAAAAAAGAATCGCTAACTTTTTTTTTATTCAAAATGCTGAAAAAATCCAATTGGTCCCTGGCACTCTGAGAGGGGATTCGAACCTTTCGCAATCCGGGCGACTGCTCTAACCACTGAACTACCCAGGATCTAACAGGACTGACGAATATTTCGAGAACTTTTTACTTTTCGCTTTTTTTGCCAGGGACCAAGTGGATTTTTTAAGCATTCTGTATTAAGAATAATTTTCAGTATAGCATTGTGAATGCGAAATTAATCAAATATAAAAAGTTATAGATGTTTGAAAATATATTAATATCGATACCTCAAATTAGAAAATTTTGAAGATGTAAACTTGAATGAATCTTCTTCGATCAGGGATGCGAAAATAGCAGCGCTCGAGAAGACCTCCGCGGAATCTGAGAGGCTGATGGCTGAAGCGCGCAGTGAGAAGATACGGCACATGGACGAGCTGCACCTCGCACAGAAAAAAGTTGCCGATCTGGAGAGCAGGTAAGTGATTCATTTGAAATATGTATATTTGAAATTATGATGATGTTACCATTTAGTCTCCATAAACTAAAGACAGACAGATAAAAACATAGGTATATAATAATAATGAATAAATGCAAAAAAAAAATACAATATTTTAAACATTGTCATGGCCCCTTTCCGGTATAGGCCTCCTCCAGGTGCCTCCATCTGTCCTTTTCTTTCGCGACGTCCATCCAGCCTCCTCCCACTAATTTTACTATGTCGTCATTTCAATTTTTATATTTTTAGTGTTGCCTACTGTAGTAAATTTGCTTGATCGTCTTTAGGGTGAAGGAGCTCGAGTCTAAAGTAGCGGAGCGTGACGCCATGATCAAGGTGTTACAGAAACATACAAGCTCGGCGTACGACAGCGGCACCTCACTCAGAAATAACTCCAGTAGAGAGGAGCTTGGTGAGTAAACTAACTTTAGGTGTATCTAAAGTGCCAACGCCATCTAGCGACGAGTAGTTGAAAAATCACTGCGCTGCATTATGAATAAGTATTCTACTACTTATTAATAATGCAGCGCAGTGATTTTCGCTCTGTAAAGATACGTAACGTGAATTTATCAAACATTTTTTAAGGATTCTAAAGTGACAATTTGAATGTCTACTTTATAATATTGAAATAAAACTGGATTCCATATATTGTGGCAAAGGAAACTCTCGCTTTAAGTAATCACATTTGTATGTTACCAAAATTTTGAATCTTTACTTTTCCGACTTTCCAATGACTATAGTACTTACAATAATGATTTACGCTCAGTATTCGTATAATGAATCAGGCGGTTAACACGATGACCTCCGTAGCCAAGTGGTTCGCATCCCGGTTTCAAGGTGTCGCCATCTCTGAGACCCCGAGTTGGGTCAATGTAGGAAGTGAACTTTCATATATTGTCTCGGGTCTGGGTGATGTGGTTCCTTCGCTGTCTCAGATATTCCATAATACGGGGGCTTTAGCTACTCATCTAGGAATCTGAGCAATCTATGTGATGTTTAATATATGTATATTTTTGTCGGCAGTCGGTCTATCGTCTGGCGCATCGTTCTCGAGCGCGGAGGGCGTGGGCGGCGTCGCTCGCTACCGACATCTAGCGAGACGCAACTACTCGCCACACAACGATAACGCCAGCGGTAAATATACTAGATTATTGCCAACACACTTGTCAATATTTTTTAAACTCACTATCATTTCTGTTTGTTAGCTGTAGGTCTTCCTAGAACATGATAAATAAAGATAATATTTCAGAATGACGAACTCGTATCTATCCCCAATATGCGATGATAGTTACTTCTATAGTAAAATTATAAAAAGGAAAGATTTGATTGTTTGTTTGCAACGAATAGGCTCCGAAGCTACGCATCGATTTTAAAAATGATATCACCTACGGGAATCTACATCACATGCGGTGCACATAGGCTATATTTTATCCCGAAAAACAGCAAATAAAGGGATGAAAACGTTACCATGTTTATTATTCAATTTGTCATTGTAATCATATCTGTGTCAATATATAAATTGATATTCAAATAAACAGTTCTCTAGGGACCACGCGGACGAAGCCGCTGGCGGAAAACCATAATTTAATAAACATATTTTCAAAGAAAAAATTCTGTCCAATAACGGATATCAGATTCCAATAACGGATGATAATCCTTAGCATAGGTAAAACAAAGAAAATAATAAAAAAATAGACAAACATGCACGAAAATAAATAAGGCTTACACCAGTAGCAAAGGTATAATCCTAATAAAAATTTGGTCTGTTAGCCACTATGATTGTGTAATGTGTTTTATCGTGCATCGTCTGCGCAGGATGCGGATTCGACAGTTCGTCTTTAAGGCTGGAGTCACAGTTGGCGGCGCTAGAGTCGCGGCTGGAACGGCCGCCCGTGCCCGCCGTGAGTTATCGCCAGCCAGATACGCGCGCGCATGCTTCCTACTACTGACATACCAACTCGCATACATACACACATCGCTCACTGAATTGTACAGTGGCACAAATCAAAAACCATTTTTTGGAGAAAACGCCACAACATTGTGGTAGCATCCCATAGATAATTTAAAGAAAAAAAAAACTTGACAGTAAGAATACAAACGATTTAACTGTTATGCTAAAAAAAAATGATTTTCATAATTATAAATATATTAAATTTTCAAAACTTCGGAGAGCGTTTCTCGAAATATGATTTTTGAGTTGTGCCACTGTACTATTCAGTGAGCGATATAGAGAAATAAACAACACACACGGGCACAGAATCTGTTTACTTTCTAAATCATTTAGCGCTCATATCCTGGTTGAGGGACCAATTATATAAAAATATTCTTGTATTCGAACGATTTCAAAAAATTACCGTATGAACAATTTTTCTATAAAATTTACCCTGCGTGCAATAAATTAATGAAATTGAAAGAAATATACTATATTTTTCTATGTATAAATTTTGGATTATACAGACCAATTACGATTTTAGTCTGTAGTTTAGGAGAATGAAAGACGAAAACTTATTATTAAAAATAAATTTTACGGATTCATTATTCACACAAATCAGTAAGTAGCTGGAATCCATTGTCATTATTTTGTTAAAAGTACGTCTTCAGCATATACAAGAAGACAATATTTTTAAATCTCTAGAAACAATGTGACTTGAGCAACCATAATAGCGTCCGAATTTCGCGTCATGAGGTCAACATTCCGACGAATGATTTCATTTCCTAATTAACATTCCTACACTGATGTACAAATAAACAATCCGAAGACGCTTAGTTTTATGTTTTGTGTGACTAGAATGTGTTGAAGTGGTTTTTTAGACTAAAAACAGCTTTTTAACCCATCAATATGTGTTGCCTAACGTTGCGTGTCCACTAAATGGGGTTCCGCAATCGATCGATTGTAATATAACCAAACTACTGTCTTAATGTTAATGATCGTCTTAGATGTAGACGTTTAAAATTTACGTTTAATGAGCTATTATAAATCTGTTGTTAGATATTCTTCTATTTTCTATCGAAATGTATATTTCTTTACATATTTCAAGGGTTGGGAATGTGCTGAATAGTGGAACCGATGTTACACGGCTTACAATGTAATTTACGCAGAATATCATGGTTTGAACATGTATGTATGATGTCTTAGAGTAAATATAGTTTTGATATGTATTTTATAATCATGTTTCGATGATAACTAGTGCCTATTGAGGCACTAGTCACCATTGGGTGACTTTATATTATTTGATGTAAACTTAATGATATTGGTGCCAATTATAGTAATAAGTTGTATCTTAAGAATCTCTAATTTTCATATATTTTTTATAAATTCACACTCCACTAGTTATGATCCTAGTCCGTTCGATTTAATATTTAAAATGGTGCTTTATATTCGGGCCATTATTTATTTTTTTCTGATCGAGATATGATCGTTTTACGATTGCTAATAATTTATTACGATGAAATTTAGGGATTGTAAAAATTATTTATTCTATAAGAGGAGTGATGCGTTGATTACATAATGAGTGTACATTTGTTACTTTATACTTCATCCCATTATCTGCATAGGGCCAGCGTGGTTGGATTGCACATAGTCCGTTTTCTCTATTCGATTTATTCATAGGGAATGCTTGAACTCGGCAGGAGGGACATCAATAGGCTGATGAGGACGATGACTATATTTACAAAAAAAAACAAACAGATTGAACACAATTTAATTGTTTGCTCGTCTATCACTAGATGGCGCGGTGTCCATTGCATCGCGATATTTTTATTGACATTAGCTTAAATAAAAATATGCAAATTAGAGACGTCACGAATAAAAAAAAAATATATATAAAACCTGGAAATAAAAGGATTTTCATACAAAATTATCAAACTGTTTTGAAGTAGGAAAAATCAGCAAATTTTGCCACACAGCTATTTAGTTAGTAATGATGAACTGACAGTGGGTGAAGTATAAAACAAGTTTAAAAAATCGTCGGGGCTAGTGCAATACCGTGTAACTAACACTTTAAATTAAGAGCTAATTTTAAGTGAGATATCATTTAAAATAAGCTCGTGATTGCAAGTATTAGTAAATTGTATTGCACTATTGCCTACGAAATGTGTTTGATTTATTTAATAAATATTGTGTTACACTCATTCTTACCCAGTGGGCGATAAAGTTTCGTTTATAGGTGTCGTATCATTATCACTCCTAGCAAAAACTCTACATGGAATAATAATTACCTATTCTAACTTTATTTTTATTCACCACTCACAGCTGATAATTATTTTATCTGAGGCATTGGTCACAAAATTATGCCAAAGTTAGAATTTAAATTTCCGAGCCTTGTACACAGCGCATCCTATGTTTATTATTTTATTTTATATTTTTAGAACATAAGTTTAATGTAATAGTACTAGAAACGGTATAATAAATACACACCCCGATCAATTAATTGATTATGACAAAAGTTTTTATGTTAAATAATGTACGGAATATGCGAGATATACACCTAACAAAGGAGAAATGTCAATATAAAGTCACTGGTAATAATAAAAGACCAGGTTTATTATAAACACTCATTAAGAAATTATGAAATAAAAAAATAGAACTAACTAATATATGGTTATGATGAAAGTGACGCATGAAGAAACATAACGATGGAGATGTAATGGTAGTGGAGTATATATGCGATTGGTATGGTGGTCGACGCATGTATTACTTAAAACGAATGAAAAACCTATAACGAAGTAAATATGCATACGGTGTAATATGAATGCGGCCGACGCGTCAGCGATCAGTGTACGTCTCGTACAAATGATACGTAGATTAAATAAACACAAATAGGTCGCCGAGCTGAAATAAGGTTCGACACTTAATTCTTTTCATCAACTTCCTGATGATGATAAAACACGATAATTTCTAATTTAATTTTTCCAATTCTTCTTGTCATGATCTCCCGATCACATATTATAGTACTATCTCGATTTTTATCAATAACAGATGTTAAAACTAAAAACTATTTTCTCTGTTGACCCGTGATTTTGCTAATTGTAACTCAAGTGTTTTTTATTAATCTATGTATGTGTTATCTAATGTATAAACTTTGTCACAATCAAAGAACAGATAAGGGTATCTACATTTTTCTTATACTGTATCTTAGACTATAAATCGAGCTTTCTGTTTTGAATACGGAATTAACAAAGTTTTCGACCCGTAATATTTATCCTGCAGCCTAAAAATAATATTTAATTGAGATCTATGAATTGATTGCGAATGTTGTTAATGTTTTTCAAATGTACTTTTTTAAAGGTTAAGTCTTAATATTTTTGTGATTATATTTTAAAAGTAAATCTAATAGGAACGTAGCGGACATTGATCACAAGGCATACTTCAGTGCTCAGACAGGCAAAACTTTTGTTTATAAGAAAATTAAATTCGAGGCTTGTCTTATAAATAAGATTTAATATTTAAATGGATACAGTTATTTTTGTAAGATGTATTACATGTATTTTTTGAAAAGGCATGTCTAGAATAAATACAATGTTTTGTTTGTTGTAGTTTCAATAATTTTTTCTAACCATTGTTGTGTAATATCCCAGTAAATCCTACTAAATGTGAAATCGAAAATACCACTACTCCCCAGATTCAGTGATTTATGCAAATTAACACAGTTTTACCACGCTTTTGTTTGGGTGTGTTCCACCAGTGACCCGCTGATTTGTAACCGATTCTAATTTTTATAACTATCAAAAGATTCCAAAAGACTATAGGATATCTCGGATAAAAAATAAGTACATTTTGTCGTTTAGAAATGGATGAATATATCCTACGCTGAGAACGATAGTGACACAATGCAAAAAATACGATTTTGAGTAATGACCGTTTACATGAACTGTAAACGGTAATCAGCCCCTCTAAGCAACGTATCATCACTACGCCACCTAGCAGTTTCTATGCAAGCTACGTTCACAGAGATCTATGCATTTTAAAGTTTATACTTAAAAAGAAAAATGTTGCCAAAAGTAAAAAATACGTCGTTTTTGGTTAATGACATTGTCATTCTCAACGTGCGATATAGTTGTCTATTGTTATGCAAACTAGAATCACGGCTGTTATTGAAATAACGATAGTGGCACGTAACACCAGATCACCCCCGTTCGTTCATCGAGAATGAAGTAGAAAAAGAAACAGTTCCCTTTTTTTTAAGAATGAATCAAATTTCGTTTGTTTTTAAACTTCAAGCTTAGGGAGCACGCGGTTATTTCTTTCAACTGAGCTTCGTTACTATTCCTTGATGAGGTAAGAATCGCTATTATTATATTTTTTAATAGAATTGGAATTGAAACAATTGGATTTTCAATCAGTTCATCAGCTTAAAACAAAGCATAATTTGTTTCACATAAAATATATATGTACCTATTTAAAGTACATATTATTCTTCTAACTGTAAATGGAAATTTCCTTTTTGGCCTTTTAATAATGTTCAGTAACACAGACGTTATTTAATACGACATTAACCAATTAGGAAATATATTGGAGGTAGCATCGAATAAGAGCCAAATTAGTAAAATTATTTGTTTTGTTTTTTTATTTTTTTATTGATTCATGAATAGTCATGATATTAGAGAAGATAAATAAAACTGACTGAATAGTTTACACACGTACTCTCTGTATTAGTTAATTTTAATAATTATGTTTTATACATTTAGCATTCACAATTACTATATTGAAAATAATTATTAATGAAAAATGCTTAAAAAATTCACTTACCCCAGGTACTCGAACCCACGACCTTGCGCAATCCGGGCGACCGCTCTTACCACTGAGTTACCCAGGACTTAACAGGACTGACGTTTTTTTGTCAAGCACTTGTTACTTTTTCGTTACTACATAGCGTATTTCAATCAATGTTCAGGAAATCTACCCAAACAGCCGAATGAAATATTTAAACTTTCGATAAATTTGAAAATTTGTTCTAATTATTATATTTGATAAATTGTGCATTCAAAATGCTATATATTCTTAATGAAAAATGCTTAAAAATCTACTTGCCCTAGGTATGTAAGTATAATATTGTTACGGTCATCCTGAAAATGGGAAATATGTTGCAGCGTGGGTTATGCTGTTTCCCGGGGCTAGGGGTAGGCGTTGGTGTAGGTGGAAGCGGCACGAGAGCCCGTGGGGGCGGCGAGGAAGCCCTGCTACTGGAAAGAGCAGGCAGGGGTGCTCAAGCGGGCCGCTCATCAAGTTTACCACCGCCGCCATCCGCGTTACCGAGACCGCCACGCAAGCCTTCCGCGCGCGCGCAGCGGTACGACCGCCTCGACCACGCGGATAATAGGAAGGTAAAAAACATAGGTTTAATATTTTCTTATTGTATAGGCACTCGTTATGAGGTTAACATAATGAAACGGATTGTTTATAGAGTAATATGATTATAATGCAAATATTTTTTTATAGAGAAAAGGAGCTCGATACCACTGGTTAGCTCGTTTGGCCTTCGTTGTGGCTAACTTTCGCAATGGCTGGCCGTGGTATTGGTCACCAAAAACTTATTATTTCTGGATCTCTTTCGCCCTTTGGAAGACAAGTCAAGCTGTTGGTTTTAGCTCCGTCTAATACTTCGCCGACGTGTTGGGCAATGGTCCGTTCTTCCGTATTCCCTATTTAATTGAATTCATATGGAAGCCCTATTAATAAACCGATAATTATGATGAAAAAAATAGAAAATAGTTAGAAGCACCTAAAGTGGTGGACTTATTGATGTCGCAGTCGCGGAACATTGCACTATGGAGGCTATGATTACACTCTATACACGTTCCAGGGTCATTAGTATTTGATAGCATATGGTGGTCATTTAATTTGCATAGTATTTATATTATGCGAAGATCTACAGCCTTTGACATTGAAATAACAGAAACAAACGGTTCGTACAGGTTCTCTCTAAGGTCAGGTACACGTAGAACATTTAAAGTGTTTCCTATTTTTATGCTCGCATAAAATGACTTAAAAATAAAACGTTGCAATCAAATTTGGCCAAAAGAATGAGAATGATATTGTAAAACATCATTTGTCGATTTTGGTTAATTCTGTAATGGAATATAAAAGGTCTATATATAATATAATAAGATTGTATTATTAGAACGTAACGGAAAATTATCAAAAATTAATCTCTCACAACTGTGAACTGTTTTGTAATTGTACGTTATAAAAACATATAATCTTTAATACTTTATCGATTAATACTTTCGGTTAATATACATAAATTATCTAGAACAAAAAGAACTGATTTAATAATTTATTAAACTGGCGCCCAACGTGTTATTTGTGACCAAATTAGCGAGCCTCTTGTATTTATCAGTACATTCTGGATAATTTTTAATGCAGGACTCGGACGGATCAGGCTCGATTGCATCGAGTGCGTCCCGCAGTTCACCGTTACCGTACGACGCTGTGCGCAAACTACCCTCTGTGCCGACGTCAGCGTCGCTACCAGCGGCAGAATCTCGGGAATCATTGGTGCGGCCG